AACTTTTTAGTAACTCATTCTTTGGTTCCTAAAAAATTTTTGTATGAGTTGGAAAAACTTTGTAGAAGTTTCAGTTGGCATAAACCTTGTGGAAACCATAGTATGCATTTTGTGGCTTTGGGAGAGTTGTGCAAACCGAGAAGTATGGGAGGGATGGGACTTCAATCTCCTGTTATGAGGATTAGTTCTTTGAGATCAAAGTTGTCTTGGGATTTTTTTCAGAAATAAGAGACACTTTTCCACATAACTATTAAGCACAAATATGGGGATGAGAAAATGACTGGTACACACAAGAAGGTAACGTCAAATGCATGGATTATTTTGCTTGATGGGGGGAGATAGCTGAAGAACATAACCAGATGGAAGATTGGTGGTGGGGATAAGATCAATGTGTTGAATGAGATATGGTTATTGGACAAGTGCATTAACCGGTGGCCAACGTTTGTGGATTGTGTTTCTTTGGAAGGAATGTATGTACACCAATTGTTATTGAATGAAGGCCAATGCAACTATGCTTTGCTTCAGGAAGTTTTCCATCCTGATCTTATCCAGTTGATCAGTCAAATCCAAACATATTTCGGTTTGGAGGATCGGATGGAGTTGCTGAGCATGTGCTCTGGTAAGTCAGTGTCTGCTCTATTTTTTGAGTATATGTTAAATTGTAAATTCAATATGGATGATGAGGGTTATTATAAGTGGCTTTATAAACTCAAACTTAACAAGAAAGTCGAGATATTCTGGTGGAGGCTTGGGAAATTTGTAATTCCTACAAACCTATTTCTTAATTAATGCGGGATTGTTGTGGATAATTCTTGTGCTATAGGCTGTAATGCAGTTAAGAGTTATGAACACATTATGGTCTAATGCAAATATGTGGTTGAAGTTATTAACCAGATGATTGAGTGGGGAATTTCCATTCCAGTTTTCCAATCACTAGACTACTGTTTGCAGGAGATAAGAAGGCTAACCTCTCAAAATCTTGGTATTGTTAAAATCTATTGCACTATTGTTTATCTATCTTGGAAGAATAGGAATGATGTGAAACATGGTAAAGCTGCTTTGCCTTGTTTTGTGGTAGCTTAAAATGCTTTGTCTTTGGCCATTACTAAAGCTAGTCCACATCTTTCTAACTGGGTACTAATCTCCTTAGGGAGGCTCGTGACTCTTAGTGCCCCCCTCCGAAAGACTGGATGAAGATCAACGTAGATGCAGCATTGCTTAGTTCTAACTGTTCTGGAATCGGTGGGATCTTTAGAGATCATAAGGGGAGGTTTATTCTTGCTTTTGGGAAAAATAAAGTCCATTGGGACATTGCTAAACTCGAGTTGGAGGCTGTATTCTCGATTAGGGAATACATTAGGAGTTGGATGCTTGAGTACAAAGGGGTGATTATTGAGAGTGATAACCTCAATATTATTACTTTTATACAAGATTCTTTCAAAAAGAATAAGTGGATTGTGGATAGCTGGCTGTCAGAGGAGCTCTTCTTCTTCAATGACTTTCATAAAGTGGTTTTTCAACATGTTCATAGAAGACGTAATAAGGTAGCCAATTTATGTGCTACTATGGCTTTAAATAGTTGCTTCTTTTTTGATAGCTTTTCTTTTAATAAAATTCCTCCCTTGTTATTGAATTCAATCAAGGAGGAATGTGATCCTTTTTCTTCTTAACAATTGTAATTAGCCTCTTTTTAACATAATACAATTGTGATGCATTTGTTCAAAAAAAAAAAAAAACTAACTATTATCTCATGTGTGGCATAAAGCTAACAGCTTTGCAGATTAGTGAGCTAATTTTTGTTGTTATCTTACTAAGCATAAGGAATTTTTTGGGTCCTGCCTCCCTAAACCCCTACTTGGATTAACTAGATTGGATAAATCTGGGTTTCCCTATGTTAGATTTTAGTTTTTTTGGCTATTCATTTTGTTTCTAATTTTCAATTATAATTATTTTCATCCTGAGTTCTTCTTTGTAACTAGTTATTGGACTCCCCGTTTATCCCTCTTATCTCTAGATTGGTGGATTCATTCTTTCTGTCTTCTACTCTCTTGGGTAATATCATTGAGGTTTTCTATATATTCAGTTGTCTTTCTTTCCCCTGTTAGTTTCCTTTGTTCTCTATGCTGTTTTGATGTAGCTTGTCCTTATTCTTGGTTTGTTTGTTTGTTTGTTTTTTTTTTTGTATTGGTTTTGGAGTTCCTTTGTTGTTGGTTCTTCTCTTAGTGGGGTTTTTTGGTTCTATTTATATTGTTGGGTTTGGTTTTGCTCCTTAATTCATTAAGTTATTTATCCTTTATCCTAGGTTTTTATCTATATTTATTATTAGTTGTTAAGAGGGTTTCTCTCCTAGGTTATTTGCTACCCTTTTTTTTTTTTTTTTGTAATGCCATATTTTTTTTTTGGAGGGGGGGGGGGGGGGGGGGGGGTGCTTTTGCTATTGTTGTTCAGTTGTTTTCTCTAGTTTCTCTGTCATGGACTTGTGTGAACTGTTCAGGTTATATCTTTATTGTTATAATATACTTCCACTGTTCCTATACGATTCAATCTATTTTTTTTTTTTTTTACTTCTACTCTTACAAGTTTATTAGTGTTCTTTAGTATTTTGCAAATTTATATTTTTTGTAGGATGATGGTGCTGAAAGATTTGTTGTTGATCTCTTAGTTTTGAGTTTTGGCTCATGGCCACCCTAGATTTTTCATAGGTTTTTTTATTGCTAAATCTTAGATGGGATCATTGGCTCATAGGTTTTCTTTTATTTTTGATGCAGCTCTTCTAAGCATTTATAAGCTGTTGATCTCTTTTCAGGACTTACAATTTTAAATTTTAATTAATGTGTAAGTTCTTTAGTTGGTTATCCCAAAAATTAATAAATAAAAAAATAATTCATTAAGGGTGTATAATTTGGGAACTTAAATTCTAGAAAATTGATTTAAAATCAAAATGTTTTAATTTTTAGAGAGTTTCTTGAGAATCATAGTAACATGTAGGTTTAATTTCATAAAGATTTAAGATTATCCTCTTAGAGAATTCTAACAACTTAATTCTATGTTAAAGTAAGATAATATGGACATAGGGATATTAAAAAAAATCATAAAAATTTTAAAAATTTAAAATGTATCTAAAATAAATAAAAAATCAATGAAAACATTTTAAATCATTCTAAGATTAAAAATCAAGGATCATGCTCCCTAGTGTATGTTTTTTCTGACAATATTCCTCTTGTTGATAAGATTAAAGAGGGAGTTGAAGGTAAACCTGAATTATGGAGGTCAACCTTATAGACTAAAGGTTTTCGTTTGAGTATATCTAAAACCTAATACATAGGGTGTAATTTTTAGTACTAATAGATCTAGTGTGGGGTTTGTGACTTTGAGCGATAAAGTCATTAATAAGAGTATATATTTTTGATATCTTGGGTCTATTATTCAGTGTGATGGTGAAATAGATGGAGATATTTTTTTTAGAATTCAAGTTGGTTGGTTGAAGTGGAAGAATGCACTAGGCTTGTTGTGTGATAAATAGTTCCACTCAAACTTAAGGGAAAATTTTAGAAGATGGTGGTTAGACCTATAATGCTTTATGGAACAGAATGTTTTTTTTTTTTTTTGAAAATGCCAAAGGCAGTAATTAAAAACCTAAAAATGGATACAACCTAGGAAGTGATAGAACACCTATCACATTCCACTTTAAGAAAAGAAAAAAACAAAGGAGGGATCATGATATCACTAAGATCCTCCCAAACAAAATTATCAACTAAAGCCAATTTAGCACAAAAGTCTGCTAAACGATTACAATTCCTAGGAACACAATGAAAATGAAACATACTGAAATCCTCCAAGAAAGACAAATCTTCCAAATTATCCTTGTTGTGCTGATCTTTCTTCATCGATCTTTGCAGGTGCTTGATCACATTTTGATTGTCCCCTTCAATGACAATCCCTTTAGCTTCAAACTTCCAAGATTTATGGAACAATTTCATTGCTCGAATAGCCATGAGCTCAAGCAAACCAATATCCCAATCAATACATTTTATTCCAAAACCAAATAAGAACCTCCCTTTACTGTCTCTAAAAATTCCAGCAATACCATCCATATTGGAATCAAGAAGTGCAGCATCAAAGTTTCCTTTGATCCAGTCGGGTGGAGGGGGTGCCAAGAATAACTAGACAGCTTTTCAAGCTGATTAGCACCCCAGTGATCCGATAGGATACCACAATTAGAAGAAATAACAGCCACATCAATTACTTTAGCTGCCAAACAACTCAACCCCGTTTCCTTCCCACCATGAACAACCTCATTCCTACTTTTCCATGAATAAAAAACTGCAGTGCAGTAGAGATTCACCAAAAAAGGATTGGTCCGAGATGCCGCTTTTAAACCTTGTAAACATCCAGTCCAATTCCTGAATCTAGGAACTTTGAAACCCCATCCTCCCAAGGTGTTGAACAAACCAGTAAGAAAATAGTAATTCACTGCCACATGCTCTTCATTTTCAACAGCTAAACAACCCCTTGGGCAACCATTAATATTAGAAATCCTCCTGAAATTTAAGAATTCCAAAGTGGGAATACCTCTATTCACTAACCTCCACCAAAAGAAATGAACTCTAGCTGTTAATTTGCTTAATCAGAGCCATTTCCAATCTTCATTACTATAGATAACCGATTGTTGAACAGATCTGATAAGAGCTGATGAACATAAAGATAGCCTCCCATATATCCTGAGCAATAATATTCCAGTACCCCTTGATGAATGAGTATGTGATTCCGTCAATTCCCGGAGATATGCTGCTACCCAAGTTAGAAATGACTTTCTCAACTTCATCCCTAGTGAAATCAGCCTTAAGTAATTCAATGCTATCATAGCTAAGCCCATTGATCCTGCTAGGCCAGCCCTTAATAATACAGTCACGTTCCTTCCACTTTTGAGAGAAAAAACTCAAAAGAACTTGTTCAATTCCATCTTGATCATTCACCATGTTACACGTGTTATCTTTGATCTATCTGATAGAGTTACCGTTCTTCCTACCATTAGCAAAGGAGTGGAAGAACTGAGAATTAATGTCACCCTCCTTGATCCATTTGACTTTGATTCTTTGTCTCCACCATATGTTTAATCTTGTAAAAGTAATATTTAATTCATGGACTTTGGTCTTTAGAAGCAAAATAGACTGATCAGATAAACCACTTCCATTGGCTTCTTTATTTTGTAATTCATCCACTTCTACTTTAAGTTTATCTTTGAGCTCCAACAAGCTATTATGCTTTGACCAGTTCCAAAAAAACAAAGTTCTCAACACAAATCGAAATTTTTTGTTTAAAACCTCCATAGGATCACCAACAAACTTCTTGCTCGAAGCTTTCTTAACAACATGGTAAGCAACAGGATACGAAAGCCACACATCTTTAAATCTCATGATCTTTGGATGTTTGAAATTCTGAAATTCGACCTGCATAACCACCGGACAATGGTCAGAGGCAACCCGTGCAACATGTCGGTTGACAGCCATTGGAATAGCCTCCAATGCTTTGGAATTGAGTAGACATCTATCAAGTCTTTCCCAAATACGAGCTCCTCCACTTTTGTTATTACACCAAGTGAATTTAGGCCCAATTACCCCCACATCATGGAGATCACATCTACTCATGAAGGAACTCATGTCTTGAGAAGCAAGAGAGAATTTGAATTTTTTACCACCCCTTTTTTCTTCTTGAGAAAGCATACAATTAAAATCACCTCCAATAACATACGGATCATCCAAAGACAACTGATTTCCAAGGCACTCCCACAACTCCCTTCTACTATACATATCTCTACTCCCATACACCGTAGAGATAATCCAAGAACCTTTATTAGCTATACAAAGCTTCCCAATTACACATTGATCATTAGCTGAAATTAATGAAAAATTTGCCAAATCAGATCTCCACATAACTAAAATACCTTCAGATGCTCCAGTAGAAGGATAAAGAAAGAAATCCCACTTATTTCCCAAGTACTTATTTAACTCCCATTTTTTTCATTTTATCAATTTTAGTTTCCACCACCCCCATGTAGATAGATTTCCAATCACTAATAACTTCCTTCAAATAAAGAGGGGCTTCCTTCTTATTTGCCCCCCTACAATTCCAAAAAAAAAAAACTCATTTAGACACCAAAGGGGAAGGTCCCCCGCCCTTCTTCCTACCAACTCCTTCCTATTTTTTCAGCCTTGAAGAAAGATTGAGGGGTCCCAACGACCTCAATTCTTTTTTAAGTTTTGGTTTTGCTTTCCCAGCAAAGCCCTCTCCTATGGTTCCACTGTCAAGAGAACTTCCAGCTAAACCTTTTTGAACCTCCATTTCCCCAGTACACCCCAATTCTTCATTCCCAACCAATTCTCCTTCTTCAATGTCAAGATTATCTGAAGAAAAAACATCTGAATTGATCTTGCCAAAATTCTCCTCTTCAACTTCACTAAGAATATCAAATTTGTTGCTGGTTGGTATTATAAAAGAAATGGCAGGAGGAATTATCGAACGATCTTCGGATAAACCAGATCCACCTAGCACCTCACAGACAGGACCATCCGAAACTTCAATCACTGGTTCCACCAATACCTCCTTAACAGCAGCACCCTGAACAATTTTTTGATTAATTTTTTCTTTAAAAACTTGTTTACCTTTAGCTTGGAATGAATTGGAAACCATCTGTTTCCCTCTCCTCTGATCATTCCTATAATTCTTCCTGTTAAGAACTTGTATCCAAGGCCCATAGTCCGAGCCCCCTTGTGTCGAATTAACCTTACCATCTCCTTGAGAACAAGATTTCCTCTCCTGAGTAGAGCTAGCCAACACACCTTTGCCTCCACAACCGGATTCTAAATGCCCCACTTTCCCACACTTGTAACAGAGAGAAGAAATTCTTTCATACTCAACATTTTGGAAGAATCTCCCATAGGGCCCATCCACCCAAACTCCAATAGGAATTGGTTTATCGAGCTCCAACCTTACACAAACTCGTCCAAATTTCCTTTTACTCCATTGAAACATGTTCCCATCAAGAAGTAGAGGAGAACCAATAAGTGAAGCAATTCTTGTCACATTTATTTCATCCCAACAAAATAGAGGAAGGTTAGGAAGCCTAACCCAAACCGGAGAGCTTAAACCTTTTAATGAAGATGGTGAGAATTCCGAGCTCCACTTATCCAAACCAATTATATGACCCTTGACAAACCAAGGTCCACCCATCAAAACATTATCCATAGTCTCTAACTTCTCAAACGAGCATAACATCCAGTCAAGTCCCAAAGAAGTTAGGTGAAATTTACCAAAACTGCTCCATTGCCGTCTAAGCTCCCATGCCATCAATGGTATTGAAATATCTGCACCAAAGGCTTTCACCACTATGGATAGATTTAACCGTTCAGAATTGTTTTTTACATTTGGTTCAAATAACTTCACAGCACACCCATCTTCAGATAAGCAATTCAATAAAGCCGACGGATCAATTTTGAGATGATTAGGTTTTTCCCACGGGTTATTTCCCTCCGTAAGCCCTTCTTTAACAATTCCGTGGATCTCATTAGCCAAAACAGATTCATTGCTGACAATTTCATAAACATTTGAAGAACAGCCAGTTTTATTTGGAATTGAAGGGAGATCTGAAGATCCATTGGTCGTTCTTGCTGTGTTACCAAAACGGCTAATAAAGATTTTAAATTCAGAGTGAGAAGAGTTATCCCCTTCTAAAGGATTGAAATTAACACTAGCTATGGGAGATCCAGTCTCCATTCTTGATTCAACAATTTCTTTTTCTTTCCCCGAAACAGGAACAGGGGAAGTAGACAGAGGAAAAATAAGTTCACGAATTACCAAATTCTCGTTCTTGACAGGATGACCAGACATCATTTGATTAACAAAATCGAAGCCATCAGTAGCTTCGCCGCCGGCGATCACGGCCGAGCCACCCGCCGGCATCTCAGACCCGCCCGCCAAAAAATGAAAACAGATGGATTCAAAAGCTTTCTCTCTCTGCACCCTATGGAACAGAATGTTGGCCATTAAAAGGGAAGCATAATATTAAGTTAAGTGTTGCAGAGATGATGATGCTCAGGTGGATGTGTGGCTTTACTCTTAGAGGAAAGATACAAAATGAGTATATACAAGAAAAGGTTGGAGTAGCTCCAGTAGAAGATAAGATTAGAGAGAGTCTCCTTAGATGGTTTGGTCACAAAAAATGACGGCCTTTCGATGACCTAGTTAGGAGAGTAGATGTATTATATTTGACCTATGTTAAGAAAGGTACAGGTAGACCTAAAAAGACTTGGTTAGAAAATATTATTAATATCCTTTATTTATTATATCAAAACTATAATTTGACTCTTAACAAGACACAATGGAGAAAAAGGATTCAGTGAAGTTATTGTTGTTATTGTTGTTGTATTATAAAAAGACAGTATTTCTTAATTTTTGGTTAATAATTTATTTCAAATTTTCATAAATCGTTAAAAATTATAAATGACTCCAAATTATTTAAAATGATTAAAAAAATACGTCCATTTTGATCAATGGTTTAAATTTCATAAATATTCGCATTCATTTGGTGGCTAAAAAAAAACACTAATTCTAATATTAATAATTCTAAATGGTATCAAATTTTTAGTGTACCTTCACTATGTTATCCTTGACTTATGCGAGATGTTTTTTAAAATTTTAAAATAATATTAAATTTACAAAATAATTTTAAATTTTTTTGGGGTGTTCCTAAGGTTGTTCTCAACTTTAGATAATAATTATGTATATTTTGGACATCCTTGAAATCTTAAATATAATTTGAAATTTTCTAGATTTAATAACATTATTATTAGATAACCTAATTGTTAAAAAAAATCATTAATAATTCAAGAAAAATAAACAATATATATCAAATAAATATTTATAAACTCATAAAAGTTTATAAAATAATAAACTAAATACTATGAATTAATATAATACTTAAGTAAATTATTCTTTCAGAAACATCTAAATAAAAATTTTATATAAGAAAAGTCATAAAAGACTTTTTTTTAGGCTATATCTAAGATTCTTTAACCAGCCAAGTTTATTTAAGAGTAAACTTTTTATATTTGAAGTATTCTTCAAAATTCAAAAAAAAAATGAAACCCAAACCCTTAAAGTTTAAATGAAAATATTAAATCATTAATAACATATATCAGAACAATTCCTACAAAAAGAAAAAAAAAATTGAAATTTAAAAATAAATAAATAATCGAGTGAATCCCGCACAACTTATGACACAGATGATGCTAGATAGGACACTAGTCTTAAACTTTCTATAGTAGATTATTTTATTTACTTGCATTCTCTTTTTAATATTTTGATTTATTTATTATGTTGTATTTTATTACATTATAATATGATAAATGATTGACTTCAAAATTCAAAACAACATAATTAAAAGTATCTTTCATTACAAGATTTTGACTATAACTCTTATTTAAAATCTAATTAGGTAAAAACCAGCCAAAATTCAAAACCTCTAGTAAACAAATACCAACACGCTGATTTGTACACAAAATATCAAAATAGGTCTGATACATATAATACACATGCATAATTTTAGAAAGGTTTGGTTTCTTTTGATGATAGAATTTCTAGAAGCAAAGCACGTACTATGATATAAATAATTAAATAAAAAAATTAGAAATAATATTTATACATCAAAATAAATTAAAATATAAAAGCACTAAAGTATAAAATAAATTAATAAATAAATTTTTGCATCAGTTAGAAGCACTTGCATACCTTTCATATTCAGGTTGCTTGGGTTTGATAGCTAACTTATAATTCTTAATTCCTAAAATAATAATAGCCTATCCTATATTGCATTAAGATTTTTATATTATGATTTTGAAGTGATAGATGGGTTTAGCTAGTAGTCCCTTATAAGTAAGAATACAAGTGAAAAATATGTATAGGTTGTTAGACCTAATTCAATTGTCCCAAAGCTAACCAAGAGGAGAGGAGAATTGGTTGTTTTAAAATCTCTTGGAAATAAAACTATTCTTTAATTTTTTGCACAAAGAAAATTTTTTATCAATTTAAAATTTTTAAACCACAAAAATTTAAACATGCAGAAAAGTTAAAATGAATTAAAAATAAGAACACAAAAAATTATAGTAGTTCGGTCCAACTAGACCTACATCCACTCTCTAAAGACTCCCTCTTCAGGTATTGCACTATTACCAAAATGACTCTCCTTTTGCTCCCATAGCAAGACGGAGAAGCCTTTATAATTACCCTCTCTTTCACCAATCCCTAGTGCGGTAGAGTACCATCATCCTTTCACACCTTTCAAGTGCTAGCAGAGTACAATCATCCTTTCACACTCTCCATGTGTCGGTAGAGTATCATTGCCTTTTTACACCCTCCAAGTGTCAGTAGAGTACCATCATCCTTTTACACTCTCCAAGTGTCGACATAGAACCATTACCTTTTTACACAATAAAAGTATCGGTAGAGAACCAAA